AGTGATTTTAGGGTGAAACATCTCACATCGAGTTGACTTATATGTTCACCCAAAAAAAAGCAATCATCTTCGATCACATTCAAGAGCCATATACGGCTCTTGATCGCAGGAGATTAGGCCTGGAAAACAAATCAGGCCGAATCTTTTGCGTTCGATAAGTTTCCTTTACAAAATCTTGCCAACATATCTGGAGGTGTGTAAACCAACCTTTTATACTTTTTATACATCACATCTGAGGTGAAACAGTACTATGAGGCGCTGTATTTATCATACAGACCTCGGACAGAATGCAGTATTTCACTGTTTTTCAAGACAAATTGCACTCAGTCAATATTCAGGACGATCAATCGTTGGCTTTTAGCGAAACCGTTCAAAAAATTTCCAAAATCACCTATACGGCCAGCCGGTTGTCACTTTTGACAAGCAGCTACAAGCGGTCGAGTGTGTGAATGAACATTACAGTAACAGTGATAGAGTTACGCTTCAACATAATAATAATAACTTATAACGATGTGTAATCTTGAAAGGCGTTTGATACGCGCGACATTTTGAGTACTCCTGCAAGCGATGTTCATGCGGCACAGCGATTAAAATTGCAAAAGAGACTTCTAACAATGAATAAAAAAAAAAAACATTTAAAGAGAAAGCAACATTTAAAGAGAAAGCAATTTTCATTCGCGAAGACAAGTATTAAAGTGTCTCTAAAAATCCTGAGTCTTTAAGTTTATGTTTTAAGCCGGCTTTCCGGTGTTTGCTTTTTTCAAAGATGAACTCGAGGCAAGAAAATCGCTCAAAGTTTTCTTTCTACAGGCAAATTTATACCTAAATATTCTTCCGAACGTTTTCTTTCTATTTGCGGTGAGAAAATATATCTAAAGGCTTTTTAAAGTTCTGTAAGCTTATATCAAACCTGATACTAGCTCAGATCATTCTCTCAAATCTTAAAAACGTGCCTAATTAACTTGCCGCATAAACTGTGCTCGACTCCATGAGGTAAGATAGACAAAAACAAACATCAGATACAATAATTACTCAGGCTTACCATTCGAGATGCAGCTCCTGAAAGCTCTCAAGTAAGTCCGGAATCGCTTGAGACTTTTAAACTCCTCTTACGTATCATGCAAGGTGAAAAACGAAAACGATGCCATCCGAAATCGGATTTCCGACTTTGACAAGCGATGCATTTCTAAACCAAAAACCCGATAAACAAACCAGCCACGAATAACAGAAGACTCTTGATAGCAGCTGTATTTCATTTTGTATATCCAGTGGAAAAAGACATTAAAAAACACCACAAGTTGACATAAGACTCTGTCAACTTCAGCTGTCAAAGTAAAAGCATAAAAATTGGACGTAGAGCGTGATCAACGCGTGACCATGGTAAGAAAAGGTCTTCCCCGCCTGTGTTTTTAAATAACTGGCTGAATTTTCGTGTCCGAGGTAAGTTTGAAATCAAAATCTTTATAGTGCTGGGCCATAGTGACATAAACACGACATATTTCTTATAAATTTTTGAAAAACAAACTTATGCCTGCGATCATTTGAAAACTAGTAACTTGTCAGCGGATAACGTCAAAAAATACTCGACCTAGATGGCTCGACACCTGAGCCCGCGATACAGTCAGGTGATCCTGGTCAGCGGATACCCTGCTTAGACAGCTGTCAATTGATCACTACATTGATGTGCAATCAGTTTTCTCCTGGGCTCCCAAACTAGCTAGAAAGCGCGAGAGTAAACATTGGTATGCCTGTGGTGCGGACGGACGGTCGTTCGTTCGGTGTACGGTCACGTGATAACCAAATTTTCTGGGATGGTAGATTTACTTAGCTATGGGACTCCCCCCACGTGCGCGCGCTTCGCGCGCGCGTGGAGCTCCGCTATCAAGTATAGCGAGTCTAATAATAAAATTAACACAGGATATCCTATCTAGAAACGTTCAGTGAAACAGTTGGTTATAAAACCTTGGGATGCATTTTGTGGACCTTTGGAGGTGCGGACGCATCCGCTGCCTCCACCTTATTCGGATTGCGTCATGTAAGACGTAAAGTGTGCACTTATTAAACCTACAGTGGTTTCGAGTTTTGGGTGCTTCGTTTTCGAGATTTAGGGGTCTTCGTTTTCGAGTTATGGGTGCTTCGTTTTCGAGTTTTGGGTGCTTCGTTTTCGAGATTTTGGGGTCTTCGTTTTCGGGATAGGGTGCTTCGTTTTCGATCTAGGGGTCTTCGTTTTCGAGTTTTGGGTGTTTCGTGCTTCGGTCTTCGTTTTCGAGTGCTTCGTTTTCCAAACTACCATCCTTAATGACATTGCTACTTGTAATTTTCTATTTCAGTGATTATGTTTGCACTTTACTGTTACAAACAATAGTTGTCAAGTGTGATTGCATGTATGTACCAAAAAAAGTGCAAACACTTTTATAGCTGTAGTTCACCTAACAATAATTTTTTTCTCCAATTACCAGCATTTAGTTATTGTTTTCACTGCAGCATTATCTCCTAGCATTGCCATCCACTCACTTCCACTGACACATTTCACAAATAGTTATTACACTTAAGGATGAGCTTTTATTAAGCAAATGCGACTGAATATTAGCCGGCAGTTATCCACTATCACCCCCATTTCCTTTTGACCATAATAACACATGTAGGAGGGTCAAATGGGGGGAACATGGGGAGATGGGACCTATGCAACATTCGCTAACAAAGGCAACCCCATTTAAATCTCAGAAGATCCTTTTTAAAGCCAAAGCACTAGGTTCCAATTTAATCCACAGGAGATTAGGTACATCTCAGCTTCAAATATTAATCCTTCACTCCCCATATTACATGATCTACTTCATTTCTCTCCTGTCCTCCCACCCTTTATGGACTCCCCCTGGCTCCGAGCTTCGCAAGGTTCTGCGATACACGTATTTCTATTTTATTTGATATGTACGAGGAATGCGGTTGTATGGTACACTTAAAATGCGTCTTTTCGCAAATGAGAACCAGGATTTAGGGAAAATTTCACCAACATTCTTCTCACACTCAGATAATTTTGATGTGAAAACTGAGAATGTCATGCAGCAGTTGTCGGAACACTGAGCGCACAATAAAGTCATGTAAGGCCATCCGTGTTCGTTGCGTATTGCGGGGCTGTCAACCCCTCACACACGCCAGTGAAGGGATAATAGACGACATCATAATGCACGCTATATGACCTCATTTGTGCAAAAAAATTAAAAAAAAAAAACGCGAAAAAGATGTCGTTAGAAATGTAACATTTGTACTTGATTGGTTTACTTCCAACCAATCACATTATTGCTTATAGTACAATGGCATACCGAGGTTTCTGAGGAAACGTTCAATGTTAAACGTTAAATAACTCAAACAACGCAAAATATTTAAAATTTCATTGACAGAAAGTCAAATCTACAAAAATTGCAAACTTCGGCAATTATCCGGGAGATTTCAGACTCTAATCTGGAGACCGGAAGAAACGGTTCAAAATCGGGAATCTCCTAGATTATCCGGGAGAGTTGACAGCACCTGACTATTGGATTCATTATTTCTTTAGTTTGCTGAGAAAAAATAAAAGCAGAAAACACTAAATACTCCTGAAGAAAAAATAAATAGGGATCCTTCCCGCCTTTTTCGTTACAAAGAGGGAACACGGAACAATCTTGTTGGTTGCTTTCTAGAAATACGTGTATTGCAGAACCTCGCGTGGTTCGGGGGTGGCCTGTAAAATGTCAGGGATGGGAGGGTGAGAGAAATAGAGTATACTTTGTAATTTTGGAGTGTGGGTTTCATCACCGGCTCGAATTTTATATTGGAGGCAGCGAGAAATACTCAGTCTCCTTTTTGGGTGGAAGAAATTCGAACCCAGTCCTCAGCCTTTGAAAAGAAAGAGATGGGCATGTACACACTTAGTAAGCAATCGTATTGGTTTCTATCTCGCGATATATTTAACAATTTCGTTATGAGGCTGACCAAGATATGAGGAATCATGCAGATTGAGTCTTTTGTCAAGAAAAGATGAAGGTCAAGGTGGATAACAGTCCCCCAGATCAGAGGCGGTTCTAGGGGGAAGGTCAGAGAGAACTGTTGGCCCCCAATAAAAAATCCCACAGACCCAAGGATTTTTATGGAATTCGGCACAGTTACACCGAAACAGCTATGCTGCGGAGCTGTTGTCTTGCTTGATACCAAAGATTTCGCATTGTCGTTATACAATCAATGATGCCAGAATAACTGACTTCAATGATTGTATATTGCCAGCACCTCTTTATGGGTGAATATACCTGAACATCCCGAAATAGCCAACCAAACAGATTGCTTATAAGATTATTGAGTAATTGTATATGAGCAACATTTCATTCCCGAGCGAGTGGATGATGCATGATCATAAAGCAACAAAATGGGCCTAAACTCGGAGTTTTGCTAAATTTTCGGAAAGAGAACTTTTGAAAATACCAAAAAATCCTAGCTTTGTTCTTTTTAGGGTGATGAAAGATTTCAAAGTATTTAAAACAGCCTTTTTCGTTTTATTGTAACTGATAGGAGAATTTTAGCGCTTGATGTAATTTTTAAAACAACTGAAGTTCATTTGAGCGGAAGAATTCCTTTACTTTTAGGAAATATTTTTTTGTTTTCAAGCGTCGGCGTGGTAGCCAAGCGGTTAACAGCTCGGACTTCAAATCTGTATGTCCAGGTTTAAACCCTGGTCTCAAGAAACTTCTTTTACTTTGTTTCTCTTTACCCATATGTAAAAAGGGGTATCGGTGACATTCTGCTTGGGGGAGGGCGGGATCCTGCAGTGTTGACACAGTACTCTAGCCGATACTTCATGTTTCAAAAACAGGGTTAGGCGTCAGCTGTGTGGACCTCATAGTACGTCTGCGCACAAAAAGACCTTTTATAATACTGTAGTGTACATCCATACATTTAGTATGTTAAAATCAGTATGTTTCATCAAAGTCAGTCTATTAAGCTCCACATATGAAGTAGCGGTCTTAATGCCTTTAGGTTGGGGTTTTTCCAAGAGTGGTTTGATCTTGGCCAGCTTCAGGCCCTTTTGATTTTGACGTAACCATATCTTCTTTACTGTGGCCTACAAGAGGACGAACTCTGACCTTTCCGTGATTGATAGGAATCAAAACCATTGGAATAAGAAATGCAACCAGAAGAGCAGCACCGGCCATGTAAAATGAATAAACATAGCTTCCAGTCTGGTCCACTATCAAGCCTAAGGGAAAAAACAGATAACGACCATGTTAGGTTTCTTTTAAGCGAAAAATATTTTTTCCTTTCATTTTGCTAGTTTGCTTTGGGTTTACAATAGAAGCCCTTTTACTTATTAAGGATATGGGTATACCAATTTGTACCGCCATCAGCCCATTTCCGCATGTTTTCAGCCTCTGCTTTAAACGACGCCTTATGACAACAAAGTATGACATCATGATAGAAAGGTTATAGAAAAAGCACAGTTTAGACTCTTCATAATAATAATAATAATACTAATAATAATAATAATAATAATAATAATAATAATAATGACTGTTTATTAAGACTCATTGCAGCAATATACAGAATGGCTGAATTACAGAGCTATTTCCAAAACATATAACACTAAAATATAATGCAATAAATCCAATACATACTAGAAAATATAATTGTACAAGCTACAAGGTATACTTATGCATGACAAACTCTTGCGTGCGCTTGGTCCTACAGGTAGGAAGCGTGGAGCGGCTAATGCCAGATCTAAGATTAGAATTATGCACAACCTCCTCCTGTTTGGGGAGCATAAAATGCAAGGGGTGATTCTCATTCCGGAGTCTATCAATATAAACCTGGCATAGATGGGCGCGTCTGTCACTTAGAGTTGTCAGATTAAGGGCATTTAATGCCTCGTTGTAATTCATTAAAGGAAAAATGATGCGCATAGCCCTTTTCTGAATGCTCTCAATCTTATAAGATAGAAAATCTGATATATTTTGCCAGACAGGAGCAGCATATTCTAGAACAGGACGAACAATGGTTGTTGAGCTATTTTGAAAAAATAGCTCATATGTCAGTGGAGTGAGCGTATGTATCTTTGTGGCTTTGTATCTTTGTATCTTTGTAACTTTGTATCTTTGTACCTTTGTATGTTCGGATGTTTGTTGCAAGAGCCAATAAAGTTGAAAGTACTATGAGTTGATGCTTAGGAACCAAGGAGATCTTGGCATCTACTTAAACATGACGTTGCTAAAGGTCGAACAAGGGCACTTTGAGACCGCCATCTTAATTCTGCACATTTTTTTCGTCTTTTATTACGGCTACAGGTGTTTGGAAACATTATATTAAATATCTTCATGATTCAAATGCTGTGTACAGTGATGCAGCTGTTTAAGGGTTCATATTTTAGTGTGGATGCTACTTCAAGACATTTCTGACCGAATTCGGCTATCGCTAACGGTACTGACGCACGTATTTATGAGTTATGTTTCACCTACTTCAAGGTAGAGTATAAAAGATCGTATATTTTCAAAGCTCTTCCAGTGAAGCAATAATTGATATTTAGATGTGGACTTTAATTCGAAAGTATGTCGCCTATAAAATGTGGTTTTACAAGTTTGAAAGGCAGCTTATTTTTTTGAAAGCTGTACCGAGTATTGTTAATCCTGTAAACAAGCTTTATTATTCTCTCGCTTACAAAGTTCAACAGACCTTTTTTGTTCCGGCAAAACAAAAAAAAGAATAATAAGTGAACAACATGATACATCCTTCCTGCATACTAAGCATTATAGTTATTGAAACGTATTTTATTTAGTAAAGATGCGTAACTTAAGTGGAAACAGTAGCGTTAGGCAATAAAATTGGAAGAAGCTAGTTGACGCAATAATTAGATACTGTTTTACTGAGTGAAGTAACATGATATGAGCAGAAATATATTTCGGCAGTTTGATAATTTTCTTGGAAGTTAATCAGTAAATGTTAGGCTACCTTGACGTTGCATGAAACATAATTTAATTCCAGCTGTTGTAATGAAGCCTAGGTGATTTCTTAAAATCGTTTGAGAAAATTTTGTAGTGAACAATTTGCGTTTTTTTACGTACGAATTGTAAAAGGGCCGAAGATCAACATCTTCACGTGCAAATTGTGTGCATGAGTTATTTTTATAATTCTGTTTACTAGATTACTGTGTGATAACTCGAATTCCCTCACGTACGAACAACGAAAGGGGGCAAAGTCCAACACTTTCACTGCCAGTTGTGTGACTGTACATCTCATGCAGATTGGCTTTTCACAATAATGATAGTAACTCGCTTGAACGTATGAAGACCTGTTTCGTTTTGTAACCAATGCCTTAAAAAAGGCTCTTGTCTTTTAAAAGCAATAGCTTTTAAAACATGACGAAATCAAGACTTTAAAGTTAAAGACTGTTTCACTGAGTAGAATGGCACCTGAAAACCTCGTGAATTGTGACGATGCAACCATCTACCACAATGATAAAAATCCTGGTATTTCTTGACTACTCGAATTTGATGAGTCACATTTTGGTTTAAGAAACTCCGAGGAAACCTTAGAGTTTTCCGTGTAATCAACGTTTGGTGAGTAGATATTTATTTAACTTTAACAATTTGTTTAACTTGCACCAAATGTTACAGGGAAAGACAGAGGAAAGTGAATATATAGCATGAGGATCGACGCAGCTGAGCCGGCGTTTCGCGTTTTCTTTTATGTACGGCAATACCCAATTTCGCACAAAAACCCAGTCTACATTTAAGACAAAAAAGGTAGATTCATCACACTTCGTAACGTTACACTGAAGCATTCAAAATAGCTCAGGCACGTTTAACGTGCCTATGTTATAAACCTTAGCTAGTGAAGCTGGAGGTGCACCACATTGCTTAAGGACCCTTAAAGAGTAAAGCCTCCTGTTTCCCTTTTGCACTATAACTTCTACATGATGGTTCCATTTCAGGTCATTACTTACATAAACGCCTAGTAACTTATATGTCATGACTCTCTCAATTGTGCTACTACCTGTTACAATAGCATTCACAATAAAATTATGATTACTCATAAAATTAATTAGCATCTCCTTGCATTTAGTAGGGTTCAATTTCATTCTGTGATCTTCAGAAAAAGCATAGATATCGTTTTTAACAAAATTGAGTAGACTGGCACTGTTCCTAGGGATTACTTCAAGTGCTGTGGTATCATCAACAAACTTTATTCTAAGGTTCCATGAGCGCAATAAATCATTTGTCATGATTGTAAACAAAATGACTCCTAACTTGGTGCCTTGTGGTATACCGCCCTTGGGAGTTTTCCACTCGGATATAATGTTCTCAATCCTCACAGCCTGAGTCCTGTTACACAGAAAAGCTATTATCCAGTTAACTAGAACAGGGTGCACATGCATGTTCCTTAGCTCCTCAATCAGCACACTGTGGTCAATCATGTCAAAACCATAGCCAATAGCATCGCGGCTTTACAACTGACAGATCAGACAACCAGTAACATGGGGCCTTAATTGACTAATCACACTGGTCAGTAACTAGGGAGTCATACCATATACCAAGTGAATAGGAATTCTCGAGGTACTTCACAAGGAACACTGAACAGTGATGATCCCTAACCCTTACACAGTAACATAATAAACTTCCCAAAATAGAGCGACACAATAGTGCATACATTGACATGGTATATCGAGCATCACCCCCAACAACTTAACCCTCGGACGTACACGCAGATTCATAACCCCACCGTGGTACAGGGGGAGGGGTGGATGGAGCCCCCATTAGAGTTTTTGCTTTGTTGCAGTATTTCGAAACGATTTTACCTTCAGTGTAGCCTGCGTAGCATGGTGGTTTTGTCGAGCCGGGCGCACGAGCGGCTTTGATCTTCTCTACAAGATGAAGAATATTTTATGGGTGGTGGCGCCGCTGGGGGCCTGTGACGTCACCAACAATTGTCGCAATCTTAGCCGCCATCTTGGATTTAAGCAAGAATTACAAATTAGGTTAAACCGCGAGAAATGGTGTTTTTTGTGCTTGACATGAAAAATAACATGTAAATAAGCACTTTGCATGATTTTTTGTTGAAAAAAGTCAAAAAAAAAACCAAGAACCTTCTCTCAAAAATCGCCTGACCACCTCCTACTTATGACGTCATATCTCGTAAAAATAGAAATTGACCATTACTGAACTTGACTTAAAATGCGCGAGAGAGATGAACGAACAGCTACTGAAAAACATCAGGTGCTGATGTTTTATCCTCTAGGAGAAAACTCAGAAAAACCTTAGGGGGTGGCATCCACAACCGCCCCTGTACGTCCGAGGGTTAAATGATACGATCTCACTTTTGACTCTGAAGATGACTAGCCCACAGGTTTACGAAACGTAGGTCACTATCAACCACTATCCTACTGACGACCAAACATTAAAGACGATCATATCGCAACTACTTGTGAAGGAGTTTACTTGCAACCAACTCACCAGCAATGGGGCCACCGGCGGCTGCTGTAAATGAATAAATAACGTTATTGATACAGAAGGACGCTGTTGTTCTTTTTGCATCTACGCAGCTCAGCAAGATAAAACCTTGAGTTGCTATGAAAACTCCATCACTGAAGCCATATACAGCACTGAAGATAATTAAGTACCCGTATTTGGTGGCAAACTTGAGCAAAAAGGCGGAGATAGAAGCTAAGAGCATGAATGCTTGGTACATAAAAACAGGATTTACATTCTTGTTGTTGCACACCTTTCCAGTTATAATCCGGCCAAGCGACGAAGAAAGGCCAATATAAATGAACAGTAGTGAAGCATCCTGGGCGGTTATTCCGTTATCCTCGGAATACTCAACCTATAAACACACTCGATACAGTTAGTGTAGTAGTTTTACTGGCCCAAAGGAAACTATGTAGTTGAAACAATGGTAGTCTTTACACTAGAGCCTAAATAAGCTAAGAGATATTTCAAGATAATTAAGTAAATTTTAATTACTTCAAGTAAAATAAAGCTTCACACACAACCGATTCTTTTTTACTTCCGGTTAACTTGAGGCTATTTTCCACGCAACATAATTACGCTTGATTGACGTGTTTCGCCTTTCTCAAACCTCAAGAAACCGCAAGTAACTGCATGTCAGGTAAGTCGGTTTTAAGGATGGTTTTCAAGTCGCTTGAAACTTTCTTGAATCGTTTCAACTTTCCGACTTTAATGAGATGCAAAGTAAAGTTACTTGACATTTTACTTAGGCCTTCACACACGAATTTTTGGTTAAGTAAAACTTAGCAGCTCCTAGGTCTTACTTAACAACCTAGTGTAAAGACAACCAATCACACAAAACATTTCCTCAGCAATCATTAATGCATAAATTAGCGGAGCACCATGGGAGTTGCTGGCTTACACTGTCATGAACATCGAAACCGTTCAATACATTACGCCAGACTCTGGATCGGAAATGAAAGGGGCTAAATCAGTTCAAACACCCTCGCCGAGATTGAGGTTAGTGCAATTTTTCATTTTCGAGATATTGGGAGATGATTTACCCAAATCTAGAGCTTTTTATAGAGACGCCATTTGGTGCCCATTCCGACGAGCACCAACATGGAAGCCGAAAACCAACAAAGACATTTGTCATTGAGTTTTGATACGAAAGCCTTAATTCATCTCTTGAGGAACTCCTAAACATTTAAGTGTCACTTTTCCCAATACAATGACTGTTAAGATAGCAAAATACAAGAAAATAAGTCACTATGCGTCCAAGAATTTTGTTGTGACAAAATCTTTCGTCTGTATGTCTGCCCTTTTATGTTAGAGGATGTGAAAAGACAAACTTAGTAGTTTGTAGTTGAAGGCATATCTCATGTCCTTGAATAAGCGCTAATGCTCTTATTAGCGGCCTCCCCCAGATGAGTGCCCACCCCTAAGACCATTATATCAAATAAGCGCCTCTTCCAGTCCCTCCCCCCCACTTTCTTGCATATAAGGGATACATGGAAAAACCAGCTTTATGGCCACCTTATTTTTCACCTTTTAGGCGTTAACTACAGCAGAATCAGTACGGGAGACTGTAGTTTGTTTTCCGTTAAGTCACTTCCAGTTAGTTTTATATGGGTTATCTCTTCTTTTAATTTTTGTCGTATTGCCTGCGCTCTTGGTATATGCCGTAAACTTCCTTTCCAGGAACGACTAGACTATTCTCTAGTTCTTTTAAAGGAATAACTAATTTAAGCGTTCCCCCCGTCTCGATTAAGCGTCCTTCTTCGAATAAGCGCGCATCCTTTTAGCTGACATCTGAAATAAGCGCCCGGGCGCTTATTCGAGGAAATACGGTACACAATCTGTGTCTAACTTGATATTGGACGTCCATGTTGTGGTCAATTTACAGGTGTCAAAATAGAGTATCCGCTGGCCAATATCACATGATTGTCTCATGGTGTACATTTCATTGAGGTGACGTTTTTTTATTCTCCGCTGACCAGTCATCTTTTTTTCAACTGATATCAAACTCAGGCCCACTATTTCAGGAGGAATTCCCTTTCTTTTGCTCCTCTTAGCGAAAGTAGAATTGCAATACCAGGGCTTCGCTTTTGGTCCTATGTTGAAAGTGCTGAGCAAGCACTTGATGTGATCTTGGTAATTCAAGCAATCTGATTGGTTAGCTATCTCGGACTATGACGTTATATTCACCGCGCTAGGCGGTGAATATAAAGCAGAACAAAATCGCTGTCGTGAACTGGGTGTTTTGCCAAAGTTTCATAGTAAAGCCTTTTTGAAAATACACGAATATCCAAGTGCTGGAGGCAAGAAAAGAGGACTTAAACAGCGTGATTTATTGTGAAGTGGTTTACTGTAGCTGACTTTTTGTATGCTCGAAGCTATGTTTACCACTACAGGGGAAAACGAGGTCGCTTTGTCACTGTTTTGTGATTTCGGGATTTTCTCGAAAGACCAATTTTGCCTATAAATAGAAGTTAATTTATGGAGAAAAGAGGAAGGCAGATATTTTGGAAAATTGTAAGCGCAAGCAAGTTAACAAGACAAAGAACTTTGGAGATAAACAACGCTCACCTTGATCGTAGTCGCTGTTGACAGCATTTGCAAGAAGCAACAAAGAAAACTTTTTCATTCACGGTGAGTTGACAGAAACAAATAAAGCTCTGCTTTTCTTCTCAGAATTGGGTAGTAATTTAACTTTTCGGCGTTTTCTTTTTATCCGTTGATGCTAAAGCTTACAAAACTAGATACAAAAAGATTAAAACTATCATTTGCCATGTTTGAAGATACTGTAAAGATCTAACTTTTGAGCATCCACTGTTAACGGCTTCGTGTTCACGCGTGAATTCACCCGTCAATCAAACTAATCGTTTTTTAATGGTTTTCTTTCTGATTCTGTTGAGATCACTTCGTGTGAATATACTAAAACAATTATTCACCTCAGGCTCAGTTAATATTGTTGAATAATCCCCTCGACTTCGTCTCGGGGATTATTCAACAATATTAAGTTCGCCTACGGCGAATAATTGTTAAATATTACTTGTTTTTAATATAGTACTTAACGAATGGACTTTTAGGGACAGAAAAAAAGTGGCCGTTATAACAGGGTGGTCGCATCGGGTGGTCACGCTAATGAGGTGGTCACATTTAACGAAGACACCGCATTAACCATAGATGGTCGTGTTAATAGGGCTGGTCTAATGGTGAAGTTACACAATAGTTTAATTTCCCCTGTTTTTACTTTTATACTACTACATCAGAAATTTCTGCAATTTGATTGGCTTAGAGCAGTGGTATTTCAGCTTAATTTGAAATACCTACATGTGAAAATTACAAACCTTTTGTGGGTAGTAGTATAAACAAATAATAGCATGATTTGTACGTGATATGTGGCATAAATACCACTTGTGATATTTCAAAAGTGTCTCAAATTTCACTCGCCTAAAGGCTCGTGAAATTACGTATACCAATTTCGAAATATCACTCGTGGTATTTATGCCAAAAATCACTACAAATCATGCTATTACCTATACTAATTAGAAAAACGGGAAAAGTAAAGAAACTAACCAGATAGATGAATGGAATGTACATTCCAAAACCCCGAAACACAAAAGACATGACGGATGCAGCAAACGTAGGAAACGTCCACACGCTACAGTAAAGAGAAATGCCACTTCTTTCACCTCTCTCAGCATCCTCATTGTTATTGATGAACTCAATCTCCGTTGTTTTTTGTACATTTGGGTTGTATGTTAAGCTCAGAACGCAGACAATTGTGAAATACGCGGCAGCTACTCTGTACGTGCCTCTCCATCCAAACGAATCCAAAAGAACTTGAAGCAATGGACCTGTGAATAGGACACCCAGACTTGCCCCCAACGCTACAATGCCCGTTGCCATAAACAAGTTTTCTTTAAAGTACTGTGCAGTAACAAGATAGTTGCAGTTGTAGACAAAACATACCCCCAAACCGAATACCAGGCTGTGGGTGAGATACATAAGATTGAGACTGTGGGAAAATGACGTCATCGCCAGGCCAGTCACGCACAAGGCGCCTCCGATGAAGTTTGTAATGCGACAGCCAAAGCGATCAGAAAGATAGCCAGGCAGCGGGCTAGCAAACCACGTCATGCCCAAAGCTAGTGAGCCAACAAGAGCTGAAAATGAATTTTTTTTTCGGTTTAATATCATCATTATGAACATCATCGTCATCACGTATTCATTTCTAACAACAGTCACGGGTCAGATACAAACCACGGCGGATTTAAAACAAACTATTGAATTAGCGATACTGTGCCTACACTGTAATTGCAAAATCGTTGAATTTTGTAAAAGTTGAACAGTTTTTATGTAAATCAATTCGCGAGACAATGGGCCAGAGAGAGAGCAAGAACTAAGAGAGCCCGCTGCCAGATTTTGTCAATCCATAGAAAAAAAATTGAAAGCTCCACTGTAGAAGATTTTTCGGCCGCCGACGTTTATCAGAACGGAGTAAGGTACGCTAAGAGTTAAAATTTTGAAATATAACCGATTCAAAATGTTTTAATAACATCGAAATTAAAAGCTAAAAAGATTAGGAGGAACTGATAGTATTGAACTGTCATTATAATTAACTATCATGTTTGTTATAATACTGATGAATATCTAACAAAAAGTGACGTAATTAAGTACATGTCGACTAAGATGGCGTGCTGTATCTCTCATAGTCTACTTTTTTTCAATGGAGTGTTTTGTTGTTGTTGCTGTTGTTTGATTCCTTGAAGCCCGCTTTCTTTAACAGTTAATTCGGTTTTACTACCGTTCGCATGTCACTTCCTCTTATCGACCCTTAAGTGGAGTTATCGTTCAATGGACAACGAGTGGAGACGTGGAAGGTTTATTGAATCAGACTTCAGGTATTCTGGGGCTTTTCCGAGGTTTTTTAGAATGGGCGCACATCTTTTTACTTAAGCGCCTTTTTGGAACGAAACAGTTTTATTTCGTAACGTGTTGAAAAAAGGCAAAAAGCTGCCTGAAGAGCGATAGATCACTGATCTGACTTGCAGCTCGCAAGATTTTTTGTTCAAGATTTTCCTTAGAAGCTGATTTTCAAATGCTTACGCCGAAGAGAAGTGACGGTAAGACGACTTAAGTGACGGTTTGATGCAGAATTGCAACGACCAATTCGTTTCATTTTTAAGTCAGATATATGATTCATACACTTTTACTGAAAGTAGCACAATCATTCGATGAGCTTAACGGTCACGGTTTTTGCTTATTTCCAATTATTGACTTAAAATTAAGAAGCTATTTCTCTTACGCATTCTAATGATTACCATAAAAGCTGACTACCTACATGTACCTCTATGGACCATTATATACAAGCCTTGAGGGTAACAGTATACATTCGATATATCAAAGCATGTGACTATAAGGCTTAACATTCAAAATTGAAATTTTTTTCCCGATATTCCAATGTGAACACAAAAACTTTTAATTTATCGAAAGCGGACTCCTTTTGCCTAGCTTAACTGTGAACCTTTCACATTTAACTTAACTCTGATTACAATTTTGAATTATTTCAATAAAATGTTGTCGTACCTAAGTAATTACAGTTCTTTCTCAAGCATGTTTAAAGGCATGGCCTGAGCCTAATTTACCTATCAAAAGTAGCTGAACTGAGTTCGCAACCTCGAAGATATCAGTAAACGCAATTTTCCTGTTACGTAAAAAACCATATTTGTGTTTCACGTGACTAGTTAAGGTCAAGTCCAGGACGGAAGAGAAAACTAAAAGTGGGGTGGGAGATGCCACACAGTAGATATTAAATACCATATTCTTGTTATTCTTTCATGGTTCCTCGCATGAATCTGGCCGGAATGGTTGACTCCCATTTTTATTAACAATTAAGCAAAACAGGCCACATGACACTTTTTATCTGTTAATATCTTTGACAGGAGCCCATTGATGGTCTCCTGCTTTTGAAGAAATTGAAAACTCTCTCCATTCCGGCCACGGAAAAACTTTGTACCAAAAAAATAAACATTTACACATGGTTCAAACTCAGTTGTAATCAACCATCTCTACCCTATTTACTAGCGTTTTCTTTTGAATAAAATATAGATTTAGCCAGGGCTAAAAGCAAAAAAACAACTTGCACGTGCAGCACACTTTTTCTTCTAATTAGCAAAAAGCATTAAATTTGCACGTGCAGCACGCTTTTTTGTCTTTGTCTTGTTTTTGTCTTTTTGTCCGCTATCATTTTGACGTCACCTTTCACGTGACATCAGTTCAACCTAAATCGATTCAATGCCTCAAAAGAAACTTTCCCGAAAGTTTTTAGTAACTTTTAGAATTAAAATGCATGGCCGTAGAAGAAAAAAAAGAAAACCGTTTTATCTTCAGGGGGGGTCGAGAACAAAAATTGAGCCATGCCTTAATATGCTTGAGTTGATTCCTTGAGTGCACGATGAAGGTCCTGTTAAAGCTTCGGGGCTTATACTATTAAAATATCAAGTTGCGGTATTTGGTTAAAACGAGGAACGTAACTGCATGCATGACGACAGATAAATTAAACAAAGCAGCCAAAGAAGAAATAATCAAGAATGCATAGTGAGACACAACAATGCTACATGTGCAATATTACGTAATATGTCATAATTTGTAATTTGTAAATGATATAGAAGCTATTTATGGAAGTAAGCTTTTAGAATCATATGGCGTTTACATGTACATAGGTTGTATTACGATAACATGTTAAGCTTTTAATCAATACCTTAACCATCATCATAGTCTTTATCATTATTTTTATAATTATTATTCATTTTCATTTAAATTAGCTTAAACAGTGACTAACAGCGATGTCTGACTTTTAATTCTGTCTGTTCTACACGTGTGTATTGCAATAATTTGGGGTCAATTTTTAGAAGAGCGGACAATAATAGAAATTCGACATCATCTTATGATTAATCTTGTTTGATTTACATTTTCAAAAATACCTAAGACGTTGATTCTGATCACAAGACAATTTCAGATAGAGATTGTTAATGTTTTAACGTGTAATACCGTGGAGAAAGAAGAAGCCTGCAAGAATTTAAAAATTACTGCTAAGTCGTAGCAAAAGGAGGTTGAGACCCACCTAAAACGTCAAAGCTAGTCTGTGAAAACACTTTTGAAGTTGTTGATTTTGTAGCTCTGGGGTCATTCAGATCACGTGCGTGAAAAATCCAAGAAAACAAAAAAATCACCGCTAAATCGTAGCAAAAGGAGGTTGAGACCTATTTAAAACGACACATTGGAAAAGAATTAAAGCTTGTCTGTGAAAACATCTTTGAAAATGTTGAATTACCAAGCTACATTTTGTAGCTCTGGGGTGATTCAGGTCACTGCACGTGCGTGGAAACCCACGAACTGAAAAACAAGAGAACGAAAATATTTCATTTCATTTTTCCCCACCAAAAACGATTGATCATCGATCAAGGTGATTTGCAAACAAATGTAGAGAAGAGAACAAAACCATCAGTAAAGGGCATCGGAGTTTGCATGTTAAAAACAGTTTTGTGGTTTTGGCCGCAGACGCTGGTAGTTGTTTTACTTAAAATTCCCTAGTTGCGTAACACAGGACATAACTTAGTTTCGCTTCATCACTTGTTCATCTTTAGATCTGAATAATGTAAGACAGGGAATGAAGCTAAAAATGATTGAATATAGACTTTGTGTGTTGATGTTTTAGATAATGTTCATGACAAATATAATTACTACGACTGACTCACTGGGGTAAGTAATAAAAAAGTGAAAAATTTAAAAGGACAGAAAGAAAGAATTACGAGAAATATGCATCTGCGATGCACAGGTTTAAGCACCAGGTCAGTCTTTCAAAAGGTAAGTTCTTCCCGGATAGTGTTCTAGGTATAACAAACCAATAGAAGAAAAAATTATTCTTTCTACTCACCAGTTCTTTCCCTTGTCTCATTGAAATAGTCCAGCAAAACAGGGAACGGAACACCGAAGCTAAGAAGAAAGCCAAAGATAAGAGCATTGCAAATCGCTGCTGAAGTACACACAACCCACGACCACGCACTATCTTGATGATGCTTGTTTCTGAAACACCTGCATAATTTACCAAGTCTCTCGTGCCGATCACGATCTTGCTCTGCGTTTGTCTTCATTTTACGTTTGGTCTGAATATATTCCGCCAGAGACTCGACTTAAGGCCTCATTGCAGGTAAACCTCTTTTTCTCGTCGAGTAATAAAAAACGTTTTGCGAACGTTCTGCGGCACGTTAGCAAGTTTTCTGGGGATTCAGAATATCAGGCAATTTCATTTAGGTTACAACTGGATTGTAACGGTGGTAGGACAAACATAATAGGAAATTTAATTTCGTTTCTGGTTGGCTGGACTTCATACAAATAATGCCACATGCCCTATGTGCACACTTTTTATTTCGGTTTAAAGGTTTTTTTTTTCTTCTTTTTTCAGTGTATCACTATTAATACCATTCGCAAGGTATGTCTTATTGGTAATTTCACCCTACGTATGAGAACCCAAATTCCGGAATGCGGGTAAGTTTGCTTGTGCCCCAAATTCCCGAACTTGGAACATTTTGCTTTTAGAATCCGGAATCTTGGGCTTAGGAATCCGGAATACAGCTCAAGAAATCCTGTTGTACTTAGAAGTTAGGAGTTTGAAGTTTATTGACCTTCATAAGTTACAAATTAAATTAAATCAGTCGTTAAATTAAAACAAATATATATACACAAACATCCTCTGCTCGCAAATAGCTTGGCTAATCAAGGTGAGCAGAGGAAAACATAAAGAAATTTATAACTAGGAAGAAATTAAGAAGGGGAAAGGAAAAGGAAGATAGATCTATACAAATGACTGAAGTTATTACAAACTTATTTTACATTTCTTGTCATCTTGCTTAGTTTATTAATTAAAGGTCAAATGAACCAAAAATTCGACATTTTTCATTTTAGTTCAATTCTAAGGAAATATGTTTAATATGAACCAAATAAACATACTATGAAGTTTCAGCTCAATTCAAGCAAGTATCTCCGAGATATTCGCAATTAAAAATTGCTGTTTTTTGGCCCTTATCTTCGTAGAGCGGTCGGAAAAATTGTCGGAAAAACAGCCTGTGACGACAATGTTGGTCAGGTGAAAAAAGCGGGAAATTCAAAACAGAGTTTTTCGAGTCGACTTGGCGCAGAAGTGGTTTGTGCGGCCATAAACCTGGAAAGAACAGGCAATTTGTCTTCAAAAATTGCAAGCTGTGGTTATAACCTTCTTACTATTTAATTTTCTCGAAGAATACATCATAGTCAAGAGACTATAAAGGGGACAGAGAGGCCATCCCCCATATACACCCTATTCCATAGGTAATTCGTCTCGAGTTATTTTTAACACCACAGATCTCAAGGGGGATTAGACAACAGCCAATCACATAGCGCATGTCTGTGAAAACATCTTTGAAAATGTTGAATTACCAAGCTACATTTTGTAGCTCTGGGGTGATTCAGGTCACTGCACGTGCGTGGAAACCCACGAACTGAAAAACAAGAGAACGAAAATATTTCATTTCATTTTTCCCCACCAAAAACGATTGATCATCGATCAAGGTGATTTGCAAACAAATGTAGAGAAGAGAACAAAACCATCAGTAAAGGGCATCGGAGTTTGCATGTTAAAAACAGTTTTGTGGTTTTGGCCGCAGACGCTGGTAGTTGTTTTACTTAAAATTCCCTAGTTGCGTAACACAGGACATAACTTAGTTTCGCTTCATCACTTGTTCATCTTTAGATCTGAATAATGTAAGACAGGGAATGAAGCTAAAAATGATTGAATATAGACTTTGTGTGTTGATGTTTTAGATAATGTTCATGACAAATATAATTACTACGACTGACTCACTGGGGTAAGTAATAAAAAAGTGAAAAATTTAAAAGGACAGAAAGAAAGAATTACGAGAAATATGCATCTGCGATGCACAGGTTTAAGCACCAGGTCAGTCTTTCAAAAGGTAAGTTCTTCCCGGATAGTGTTCTAGGTATAACAAACCAATAGAAGAAAAAATTATTCTTTCTACTCACCAGTTCTTTCCCTTGTCTCATTGAAATAGTCCAGCAAAACAGGGAACGGAACACCGAAGCTAAGAAGAAAGCCAAAGATAAGAGCATTGCAAATCGCTGCTGAAGTACACACAACCCACGACCACGCACTATCTTGATGATGCTTGTTTCTGAAACACCTGCATAATTTACCAAGTCTCTCGTGCCGATCACGATCTTGCTCTGCGTTTGTCTTCATTTTACGTTTGGTCTGAATATATTCCGCCAGAGACTCGACTTAAGGCCTCATTGCAGGTAAACCTCTTTTTCTCGTCGAGTAATAAAAAACGTTTTGCGAACGTTCTGCGGCACGTTAGCAAGTTTTCTGGGGATTCAGAATATCAGGCAATTTCATTTAGGTTACAACTGGATTGTAACGGTGGTAGGACAAACATAATAGGAAATTTAATTTCGTTTCTGGTTGGCTGGACTTCATACAAATAATGCCACATGCCCTATGTGCACACTTTTTATTTCGGTTTAAAGGTTTTTTTTTTCTTCTTTTTTCAGTGTATCACTATTAATACCATTCGCAAGGTATGTCTTATTGGTAATTTCACCCTACGTATGAGAACCCAAATTCCGGAATGCGGGTAAGTTTGCTTGTGCCCCAAATTCCCGAACTTGGAACATTTTGCTTTTAGAATCCGGAATCTTGGGCTTAGGAATCCGGAATACAGCTCAAGAAATCCTGTTGTACTTAGAAGTTAGGAGTTTGAAGTTTATTGACCTTCATAAGTTACAAATTAAATTAAATCAGTCGTTAAATTAAAACAAATATATATACACAAACATCCTCTGCTCGCAAATAGCTTGGCTAATCAAGGTGAGCAGAGGAAAACATAAAGAAATTTATAACTAGGAAGAAATTAAGAAGGGGAAAGGAAAAGGAAGATAGATCTATACAAATGACTGAAGTTATTACAAACTTATTTTACATTTCTTGTCATCTTGCTTAGTTTATTAATTAAAGGTCAAATGAACCAAAAATTCGACATTTTTCATTTTAGTTCAATTCTAAGGAAATATGTTTAATATGAACCAAATAAACATACTATGAAGTTTCAGCTCAATTCAAGCAAGTATCTCCGAGATATTCGCAATTAAAAATTGCTGTTTTTTGGCCCTTATCTTCGTAGAGCGGTCGGAAAAATTGTCGGAAAAAACAGCTTGTGACGTCAATGTTGGTCAGGTGAAAAAAGCGGGAAATTCAAAACAGAGCTTTTCGAGTCGACTTGGCGCAGAAGTGGTTTGTGCGGCCATAAATTCAAAAGTTGCAAGCTGTGGTTATAACCTTCTTATTATTTAATTTTCTCGAAGAATACATCATAGTACAACGGACTTAAACGACATTTACTAATTTCCTTGAGTTGTACTGGAAATGTGCGTGCTTAAGTCTGATTTTTTTCAAGATGCATTCACAAAATGTGTTCATATAAGGAATTTGCTGGATATATAAGGTCCGGAGCTCCGCCGTGGACACAAAAACAAAATATCTTTGTATAATAATCTGCCCAAAGAAATTCAAGTTTGCCCCCAATGCGTTTGAAGTCACTGAACTTTGTCGCACTCGAGCTGATATTTTAAAACCCACGCTCGATCGGACATTTCTAGCTCCGCAGATCACTAAAATATAAACAACATCCTCGATGTAGAAGTTTTGGCGTTGATATGTGGGCAGAAAAAGAGTTAATCTTTATCTAGTAAATCTTCCCCAAGATCTTCTCAAAGCAACCATAGCTTTTTAAACTTGATCGTTTTGCGCAGATTAATTTTGCTTTGTGTGGTCAAGTTGAACATGCATAACACCTGTTAAAAACCTACGCGTAAGTAAGATTTCCTTCAAACAAGTTGAAGTTACATTATTGCAAAAACTTCTTTCCAATTATGTGTAAGATTTAATTACCGATTGAGGTCAGTTTAAGGACCATAGAGGCCACTTTAAGCTGGCAAAGAGATGCCACAAGCAAAGAACAATTCCATCATGCATAAAATTCAGCTTAAGTGAACTAAAAAAGCTTCAATAAGGTTGCAAAGCAACAAATTTTCATTTTAAAAAAAACATAAGGCTTAAGGCTCTTATAACTGCTGACAAAGAAGAAGTGAATTTTCTGTACGGAAACAACCTACCTATAAAAGATCTTAAAAGCAAAAGATCAGTTGCGAGCTTCGCAGCCAAGCCATGATTCCGACTACTTGGCTAGATTAGCTACTTTTTTTGAGTAATAAATAACTGGTCCATGCGAGGGTCTTCATTCAAGCAAATTTAACTCAGCAAACTGAATCATTAGAAAATACAGAAAACTGCACATAAGGATTTGTTTTGCTTGCTTCAGTCAAATCCAGCTCGGGCAAAGAGTCGATTGTTTTGGAGTCACTGCCGGCAGTTGTCGTTCTCCGCTACTTCACAGCGAGTGAAAGGAAAATTTGCGTACAGAAAGATAACAAAACTATGTAATTAAACTGAAAAAACTAAAGGAAAAAAACTCTGACTATTATTATTTGAGCAACAGAAAAATGATCAAAGTAGTCTTTTCATCTCAAGTAAGCTTGCTGGCCTTCTAAAGTTCCGAGGAAGTTTTAAGCACTCAAGTTTGTTCACTCGCAAGCGTTAGCATTACGGTTCTTCGACTGAAGACAAGGATAAAGCTGGTTCTGCAAAGGTAAATAAATCTGGGCATGTAAAAAAACTAACCGTAACTACTAATGACAGAATACAAGCGGGTTTTAATTCAGTCCGGCGAAAGACGGCGAAGAACTGGA